AGGACAGATTTTCAGTTCTCGATTTTAAAAAAAAAAAAGTATATTCTTTGCATTTAAAACATGTACAATGCGATATTTGTACATAAGGAAAACAAAATCTCCGCCTCCAACCAATTTCACTATGTGCATGTTAGACTATATACTTTCACCAAGTATAAAAATTGGATAGAAGGGAATACCCAACAGGTAGAAAAATTTTACAAAAGTTCAGTTCACTGGCTAAGTACTGACAGATCAAAGGTAGCTAGTAATTTTGAAAGGTGTGACATTTTAACTGTGTCGTGTCCCATTTCACATCAACATCCCACCACAAGCATTTTGTATAGGAGGGAATTTAAATACTTTTCACAGGGATGAAATTGTTTGACACAAACCTCCCTGAGTGGTTGAATCTTCCACAAGAACATCTTACTCCTTCTTCTCTCACAAAAAGAGCTAAATGCTCGCAGCTAAAGGAATTTGTAGTAGTAGTAGTATAGGGTTTTACGGCGCTCGCAACTGCATAAGGTCATATGAGCGCGTAGCTAAAGGGATTTGAAAACAACAACAACAACAATCCTCACAAAGAATGTTAAAACCAAAGACTACTGTAACGCAATTACTAGTATTGTTCAGTTGTTTGGAAACTGTCATAAAATATACACAGTTAAATGTGAGGCAGCGTGGTGGAATCAGGCTCTCGTCAGGATAATCAAAGTGAAGAAACTTGCATTTTTCCGCAGGTTTGTGAATATTTATCAAATTTTTGTCTTTTGGCTCAACACTTTTCATGCCCATTAAAAAACTCATTTATGTGTGGATTTTTCTGAAAAACGTTGATTAAAGGCATAAAAAATGTAAATTTTCAGTTACCGCGGACTCTTAAGCTAAGGTAATAACTAATCTTTGGCGGTCATTTTCTCACTAATTTTACCTCTGAAAACAAGAAACCCCCACCTCCTTCTTTCGCAAATATCTCGACTTGTAATCAAGATAAATAGATATTTTTTTCATCCAAATAAAGACAACTGAACAAGCTTTAAGATGATACCAATAACTCTACATGCCCAAAAATTGACGAGAGCCTGATTCCACCACGCTGCCTCACAAATGTGACGTCCAGTACGCTCTGCAAGATATACAACTTAATAACCTCCAATGAGTCAAATATAGTTTAAAATACAGTCCACCCTGATCTAACAGCCACCTGTCCAAGATGGTCACCTGTACTAACTTACAACATGTACCCCTCAACCAACATCTCAACCGAATAGGAGTAAAGCAGTCTGCTGCCTGCCCACTATGTGACTACCCCTCAGAGACAGTGGAACATCATCTGTTCTTCTGTAGAAAACTAACTGATTTAAGGGGATGTTTTCTTCCCAAGCTACCCCACACATCTAACTGCTTCTACTCCTCAAGACAACAATTAGAACAGACATGCAACTATTACCGAATGGCATCATGCAGAAGAGTTAACGCTCAGATACTACTGGATCGCTAACAACAACATACTAACTTACATATTATTCTGCCGTAAGCTGACAAAACGTGTTTTTTTTTCTTCACAGCAGTTTCGAGAAAAACAGGGGTGTTTTTGTCAGCGTAACCGTTAAACAATAAAGTAATCCTGAAATTCAAATTCTAATGTATTCAAAAACTAGTAGTAACAGTTTCAATTTGATTTGAATACACAAGAATGGTAACTGATCAGGCTTTGGATTTAGCAAATAATAAAATAATTTGGCCCAAAAGGAAAAAAAAGGGGTTTTGTCAGATTTCGACAGTTTTGTGCTTCCCAC